TACATTTTATTTATTTATTTATTTATTTATTTTTAAAGATTTTTATTTATTTATTTGACAGAGAGAGGTAGAGGCACAGCGAGAGAGGGAACACAAGCAGGGGGAGTAGGAAAGAGAGAAGCAGGCTTCCCACTGAGCAAGGAGCCCAATGCGGGGCTCGATCCCAGGACCCTGAGATCATGACCGGAGCTGAAGGCAGTCGCTTAACCAACTGAGCCACCCACGCGCCCCTTAATGTACATTTTAAAACAACATCTAAAACAATGGCACATGGTACCTACTTAGTGAATATTTCTGCTATCTTATCAATCATTATAGTTATTGACGATATAAAGATAGGTAAAAACGTTTTTATTACATAAAGATCATAAGAATGATAAAAAAATTATTAAAACCCTAGTATTCTGCTGAAAGTCTTTATGTAACAAAGCAGAAGTATAAGTTAATTAGTAAGAATACCTCAATAGGTGAGTGTCTTTTAGTTCAGGCTGTTATAACAAAAAACATAGACTGGGTCACTTACACAACAGACATTTATTTCTCACAGGTTCTGGAGGCTGGGAAGTTCAAGATCAAGATATCAGAAGGTTCAGTTCTTGATAAGGCCCCGACTCCTGCCCTGTCGATGGCCACCTTTACATAGCAGAGACGAGCAAGCTCTGTTCTCTCCCTCCCTCCTTCTCTCCTTCTCTTTTATTTGAGAGAAAGAGCATGAGCTGGGGGTGGGGTGGGGTGGCTAGAGGAAGAGGGAGAAGCAGACTCCCTGCTGAGCTCCACAGGCTTCCATCCCGGGACCCTGAGATTATGACGTGAGCCAAAGGCAGACTGAGCCACCCAGGTGCCCCTCCTTCTATTATTTATCTATCTATCTATCTATCTATCTATCTATCTATCTATCTATCTATCTATCTATCTATCTATTTATTTTTATGAGTATTAATCCTATCATGGGAAGATCCACCCTTCTGAAGTCATCTAAACCTATTTACTTCTCAAAGTAGTTAACTCCAAACACTATCACAGTGGGAGTTAGGACTTTAACATGAATTCTGGGAGATAACATTCAGCTATAACAATAAATATGCAAAGAATGTAAATATAACAATGAAGAAACATTGGAAAGTACACATATATAAAACATGCAAATATTACCAGTTATCAGAGATATTAACTTGAACACTTATAATGAAACCATTTTTCTCTCTTAATACAATGTCTGGCATAGTGTGATCTCTCAAATATTTTTTGAATCAGTCTGTCAGCAAAATTTCTCAATTGATAGTTCTTCGCCCAAGAAAGATGTGGTGGAGCTGGTGCTCTGTGGTGGTGGTAGTGGTGAGATTTATACATTCCAAAGCAATTTGGTAGTGCTCTCTTACCTCTTGACACAATAATTCTACTTCTAGAAATATTTCCTGGCACTCTAATCCAAAATGGAACCTATATGCAGGATCATATTTATTGCATTGCCATTCACACTAACAAAAAAAGAGAGGGCATAAATTAGAGTCCAGTATTTTTTTAAAGACCTCTTTTTTTGTTATTATTATTATTATTTTAAGTAATCTCTATGTCCAACGTAAGGCTCGAACTCACAGCCCAAAGATCAAGAGTCACATGCTCTACTGAATGAGCCAGCCAGGCACCCCAAGTCCAGTAGTTTTTAAAATGTGGCCTTTTGATTGACACTGTCACTAAATATGTTAATACATCATTCAGTTTACTGTCAGGTCAGCCTGGGAAGAATTTTATATCTAAATTATCACATTTAGGGGCGCCCGGGTGGCTCAGTCATTAAGCATCTGCCCTCAGCTCAGGTCATGATCCCAAAGGTCCTGGGATCGAGCCCCGCATAGGGCTCCCTGCTCAGCGGGAAGCCTGCTTCTCCCTCTCCCTCTCCCGCTCCCCCTGCTTGTGTTCCCTCTTCCGCTGTCTCTCTCTCTGTCAAATAAATAAAATCTTAAAAAAAAAAAAAATTATCACATTTAAACTCTGTCAACTATGGTTAGTTTTAATTTAGCTCCCAGAGAGTTAAATTATTTCCAAGCTCTTAAGAAATATTTTATTGTTCTAGTCCTCCTACCCCCAGCACATGTTTCATGCCAAATGCTCATGAGACTAGAATTTCCTCGAGGGCAGGGGATGGCATTTCTTTTTACCCTCACAGAGCCTCACTATAAACTCAATCAATACATGTGTCTTAGTATCCTAGGGCTGTCATAATAAAATACTTTATACTGGGTGGCTTAAATAACAGAAATGTATTTTGTCAGAGTTCTGGAGGCTGGAAGGTCCAACATCAAGTTCCATCATTGGTTTCTAGTGAGAGCTCCCTTCCTGGCTTGCAGATGGCCACCTTCTTGCTGTGCCCTCACATGGCGGAGACAGAGCACGAACACTCTTATAAGGGCACTAATCCCATCATGAGGGATCTGATATATGATATATATATATATATATATATATATATAATTTAATATACCTCTAAGTGTATTTCACTTTGTCTCTTTGATATTTTTAATAATGTATGCAAAAAGGTCAAAATCTGGGGCGCCTGGTGGCTCAGATATTTAAGCGTCTGCCTTTGACTCAGGTCATGATCCCCAGGTCCTGGAATCGAGCCCCACATCGGGCTCCCTGCTCAGCAGAGAGTCTGCTTCTCCCTCTCCCTCTGACCTTCTCCCTCTGACCCTCCCCTCTGCTTGTACTCTCACACTCTTCGCTCTCTCTCCCTCTCTCAAATGAATAAATAAAAAAATCTTTTTAAAAAAAGTCAAAATCTAAAAAAAAAAAAAAAGTCAAAATCATATAAGTAAACTCATACTGTCCTTTGACAGTATTTCAAAAGCGTCTTCTCCAAATATTGTCTTGAGGCATGCTAGCTTGAAAACTAACTTAAAGAGAGAAATAATAACTTTCTAATTAAAAAATTGTAATCATCTAGTCCAACTCTTAGAAATAGAAAATAGAATGGTGGGGCACCTGGGTAGCTCAGTCAGTTAAGTGTCTGTCTTCAGCTCACATCATGATCCCAAGGTCCTGGGAGCGAGTCTCACATCTGGCTCCTTGCTCAGCGGGGAGCCTGCTTCTCCCTCTGCCTGCCGCTCCCCCTGCTTGTGTTCTCTCTTTCTCTCTGTCAAATAAATAAATAAACTCTTTCAAAAAAATTTTTAAAAATAAAGAAAAAAGAAAATAGAATGGTGGTTGTTAGGGGCAAGAGGGAGGGGGAGTTGTTGGTCAATGGATATAGAGCTTCAGTTTTTATTTTTTAATTAACATATAATGTATTATTTGTTTCAGGGGTACAGGTCTGTGATTCATCAGTCTTACACAATTCATAGCATAGAGCTTCAGTTTTAAAAGATGAAAAAGTTCTAGAGAACCATTGCATCACAAGGTGTATATGGTTAACACTAGTAAACTATGCACTTAAAAATGGTTAAAATGGTAAATTTTATATATATTTTTTTACCACAACAAACAAACAAATAAACGAAATTGGTGTGTGGGTAAACCAAATACCATGGTGTATATATAATCCTGTGCCACCCAGTTTGGAAAATTATAATTGTCAGTGAAATTTAGGAAAGAAGTATCTCATCTCACTGGTAAAGTTCTTGAGATTTCAAAAATAAAGTATTTAAATATAGAGACTGAACAACTCTCCTCCCTGTTGCTATTTTTTCCACCCACTGGTCTCTCTCCAGACTTGGGATAAAGGTTAAGGCACACAGTAGATATTTATTGTTTTGAGTCACCAATCTGGGTTCCTATCACTTAATTATAGGATTTTTGAAGGAACTTTTAAGACAAGAAGGCAGTTTTTGTTCTTATTGTTGGTGCTGTTGTTATTGTTGTTTTTCACACTACTATCTTAAGCTCAAATAATTTAGCATTTGGGGACCACAATGAGGGAAGTATGCCTGAGGCTAAAGTGAATTCAAGAAAAGCAGAGCCAAGAGGAAGTGAAAAACTAAATCCTGATGATATCTTTTCAGCGTCTGGCTTCAAACACATATCATCTTGGCTTTACTACTGGAATTATGTGAACTAGAGAATTCTATTTATTGCTTAAGCCATTTTAATACTTGGATTTCTATCACTTACAGTGCAAAGAAACTTGACTAATATGGATTCCTCGCAATACTTTTATGCATTCTTAAAATGCATTTCCCCCATTACCTAGTTCAAGCTGGATTCTGTAATATACAACCTCAGAGTCCCAAGTAATATAAACATCAATACCAGAAGTGGGATCATTGTTTTAGATCATCAGAGAAAATGCAGAACTAGCTGAGCTGTGGCTCAGTGGGGGGTTGGGGCAGTACCGACTCCTGCATTGTAGGGTGAGAAAATAAGATTTTGTATGTAGATATAAAGCAATTGCCAACACTATATCCTTAAGTTTCTTGCTTAAGGCATATGGCTATGAAGGATAAAGCTTTAGAAAACTTAGTAGCAAAAGGTCAATGGGTCAGTCTGCTAGTTATCAGTCTATTAATTCAAAGTTCCAAATTTATTCTTTTTGCTTGCTGTGTGAAAATAGATTTGGGCCCTTAAATGATTTTCCTTTGCCAGCTGGCATAATAATAGGTCTTTCCAACAGAGGGCACTAGAGAGAAATTGCAGGAGGAAAAGGGTTTTGTTTCCCAGTTCTGGTTTGCTTGCTTCCCATAGCGCACAGGGCCAACCCCAGCTTCTGCAGTGCGCAATGGCCAGCAGCACCCACAGACTGCATCTTCCTCCAAAGTCCCCCTGGATGGTTTTGTAAGGGGGATGGAATGCCTCCATGATACATGTCTCTGTGAACAGCTTTCCCTTGCATCCTAGAGGATACATTTCCACCAAGTTCTACCAGCATGATACCACAGAGACTTCTCTGCCATCCGGTGAACCACAGCTGAGTCCTCTCCAGCAAGGTCTGGATGTCCATCCTACTGGTGGTGGGGCCCTTCTCTGGGTACTCTATTTCAACTCTCTTTTAATTTTTTTTTTTTTTTTTAAATATGGAATGCCTCATGCATTTGTGTGTCATCCTTGTGCAGGGGCCATGCTAATCTTCTCTGTATGGTTCTAATTTTAGGACATGTACTGCTAAAGCAAGGATTCAAGCCTATATTCTTCACTGTCCTCTTTACTTCTTATACCAATCCCCTATTAGAGTGAAAAAAATTTTGTATTAAAGTTTCTCTGGTCAAATTACTGTGTGATTTCTCTCTCCTGATTGTACCCAGACTGATAAATCAGATTATGCTGATTTTTCCTGAGGATCCTCAATAAGGTACAACAAAAAATTTGCATGCACCCATCAAGATTTTCCTGAATGTGAGCAGAAAAAAAGGGGAGTTGGGAACTAATAATGTTGAGGTCCAAATCAAGACAGACCGAAGTGCAGAGAGGTCGAGTTCTCTGACTTGCTTCACCTTCTCCACATAAGACTGAAATGCTGACTGAGGAAGTGGGAGATCCTGTCAACTACAACGGGAAGGGATTAATGGAGAATGGGGGGTACCCTGATACATGGGGCCACACCCCAGTGCCTCATACTGGGTCCCCTCCTGACAAGCAGTATGACACTGCCATTGCAAACTACACTGGCCTGGAATTCAGTTTGGGGGCAGGGTGCTATTCTAGAAGAGAAAGAAGAGTTCTCTGCCAGTCCAGACAGTTTCTTCACCCACACTGTCCTGAATAAAGTTTGTCAAACAAAGTGCACTGTGTGTGTGTGGAGCCCAGAGCTGCTGCTAATGAACAGAAAATCTATGAGTATAGCCCAGCCTTGGCTCTTCCACTGAGCCGCCATGCTGACCTGATAAAGTTTTTGGTGTTTAATTTTAGTAAGTTGCCGTAAAATGAAACTGATAGATAGGTGACTATGGTTTTATTCTAACCGTAGCACCAGCAAAAACCACACTATGTAACAGGCCTGTGATGCACTAAACTCAATGGCACAGAATGTCCTAATTCCTTAGATGGCCTCAGGCCATTTTTGCACCCCATACTGTTAACAAGTCAATTGCAAATGAAATACACCCTTCTCTTTCCCCAAGCAGGTTGTCTATTCTCATGTCCTTTTAGGTGTCCCCTTGGTGATAGGAATGATTCCAGCAGGCAATATCAGAGAGCCACATTAGTTGACAATAGAATTCTCACCACTGTCAAGTCAACCAAATGATGCCAACAAGTGGTTCTCTGCTTCGCTTCATTAACTCTGTCCAGCAGCAAATATCCTGTGATTTCCTCCCCTCTCTCCATGTTCTAAATGGAAGTTTTCATAGTAGCTGTAGTTACTCTGCATTGTGGTATGTAAGAGGTGGTTGATAGGGATTACATTTATGAAATAGTCTAAGGCTGTAGGATCATGAGATATTACAACTGGATCAGATTAAGACTCAACTAAAGAAATAAATTACTTGGAGACACTGGACTGGAAAAATAGTGGTCTCATGACATTGCCTCTAGGAACATAGCTGGAAGGTACGTTGGATTGTGTCCTTCTGAAGAAGTAGTATATGTGTATGTATTAAGGAAGAATGGCTGGAATAATTGAACTTTATGTATAGAAAGAAAGGTGTATATTTCTGCTGGAGGGTTCTTCTATTTCTCTAAGAATTAGGATTTGTTTGCTTTTTAAAACTGGTGTCAGGCTTTTGCCTCCACTGTTATGCTGGAACTAATCTTGTTATGGTTGCCTTTATCCAAGCTATGTGCCCAGAGGATGTCGATAAATGTGTGAAGTAAAGGTGGGGGGAGGGGTGAAAAAAGATGAGATTTTCATCTCAAAGATGAAAAAAACCCAGCAACATCAAAGAAAAGTTGAAATGTGAGTTAATTTGTTGGACTCTATTGCCATTTCTGGTCTAATCTATGGCTCTGCTTCCTAGGACAGCATAGTTTAGTCCATGAAACAATTTTAGCTGCATTCAAAATATGTTTCATTTTTGGTTTGGCTTCTCTACCGACTGGCTTTCTCCGCTTGGGCAAAGGAATAGGGTGCTGTCCATCATGTTAATATACCTTCTAAGGTAAAGCACTAATAGAGACTGACTAGAAGAGAGGGATCTCAATTTTACCAATTTAACTTTAACAAATTTAAATTTAACAAATTTATTCAATTTACTCAATTTAACCAAAATGTAAAATAATTACCCTGGAGAGAGTGTAACTGCACAGGTTGGTACTATATCCCCTCCATTTTAATCAATTGTAGCATAGAAGCTGAATTCTACAGGATAAATAGGGCCACTAGGGCTGCGAATAGGAATATTAGTAACAATGACAGCTGTCCATAGTACGTAAAATACTGCTGATAGGAAATTCAGTGTTATTAAATAGCATGAAAAATGCATATTCATAATGACATTTACGAAAGAGTTGAAATATAACCGTCCCAAACTGGGGTGGACTAAAAAAGGGTCAATTCCCTTATTTTTCCATACTTGATATTATTAATCTCACTTTGGAGTTTCTGTTTGTGTTAATTTGCAGAGTTACTAGGAGAGGATTTAAACTCACAGTGACAAGTAACTCGGTCCCCTCTCTCTGGGGAAGATGAACCACTTCCGCAGTGTTTCATCCTCCTTTGCCTTCCTATCTTCTCCTACAGTGTTGATTCTGTTCGGAAAATCCATCAGGGGCCCATCAGGAAAGAGAGCTCTCAGTAAGTAGTTCAAAAGAGGATGTTTAATATGGAAAACAATTACAAAGATGTCAGGAGCACTGAAAGACCATGTGTGAGAGCAAGGCAAACACAGAAGCCACTGAGAAAAGGCAGGGACTGCCCAGCAGGCTCTAGGACCCAAGAGGGAAGGGTGGTCTTCCAGAAGTTGAAAACCTGGAAGAAATGAAGCCACAGCCAGAAACAGAGAAGGAGGGAGAAATGCCTTGGCCGCTTCCTTCTAGTGTCTCACCAGTGTCTGCCATTGGCTGAGTACAGACAGAAGTCAGTTGGCAATGGAAAACGGGAAACCGTCTGTAAGGGTCAGCTTCAGCAATACACCTACCAGAGCATGTGACAGGTAGGGAAACAGATCTGATGGTCCACCAGCAAATGTTTGGCTCAGATTCTTTGAGCTGCAAGTAACAAAAGAGCCAACTGAGAACGGTTTCAAGTAGAAAGGCTTAACAGGAGGTAGGACAGTTTCAAGGTTAATTAGATGGTTAGTATGGCTCAACTACACTAAGGACCTGCCTTCCTTCCATCTTTCTGCTCCGCCATGGTCAGCATATTGGCTTATTCTTTGGTGTGTTCTTTTCAGTTTCATGATGGTTGCAGAGTCCCAGGCAGCACAGCTGGACAAGGAAATATTCAGATCTAGCATGGAAGTGTTTATTCCTATTTTTTGTTTTTTAAATCAGCTAAGAAAGGCACTTGCTGAAGCCCCTCAGAAGAATTCCCCTCATACATCCTTGGTCATAACTGAATCACATGCCCAGGCTTAAACTACTGACAAGAAGAAATGACCCATTCAAGTTGGTTCATCTCCATCATGGTATTTCCCCTTGAGCTGGGAATGTCCTCCTGAAGGACACAGCCAGGAAAAAAAAGAGAAGATACCTGAACAAAAATCATGATTTGTGAGAGTGGGGGATGGGAACAGGGTTTATAAGTGTTTGTTGATGGGAACATTGTGCCCTGTATGGTTTCCCTTTCATATTTTTATTCACTTGACCTCCCTCCTACTCAGCCTGAGGCATCCCTCTGCCTGTGTGTGCGTTGGGGTGAGGTGGGGAAAAGAAGAAATTAGGATTAACTCATCAGGAATGTAAAGAATGTTGCTCATTTTTTTTTTTTTTTAAAGAACATTTCCAAAACAGGCTTAAACAACTAAATTGTATGCCTTCAGCAAACAGGTTATTTATGTTCATGGTCAGGACTAATGTTAAAAATATTTAACAACTGGAACCAAATGGGCACTGGCCACTCAGGCAGACTACTGCCCAATCAGACTGGGCAAGCTGAAAAGGACTAGCAGAGCTGGCACTGGTGCAAACCAGCTGAATGTTGACACTGCACATGGTACCAATTAAAAAAGATCCCAAAGGGTAGACAGGGAAACATGAGCCTCCCTCCCATTCCATCCCCCAGCTTCCCAGTTCGCTTCTTCAAAGGCAAGCAACCACTTTTACCAGCAAAACAGACTTTTGACGTCCTGTAGTAAGACAAAGCCTGGCTTTGTGAAGAAAGAAATTAATTTTCTAAATTCATTTATCTCCTCTTTTAGTATGTTAATTACCTGGCCACGCCGACTTGGCTGAAGAGTTTTGCATATTGGGGTGGGGGGGGCGGCAATCGGCAGTAAGCAGCAAGGTAGAAAGGTCCATTCTTTCCAGTCCAAGGGTTTGTGGTTGGAAAAGAAAGGTGGAATAGGGGAAAGGTGTATTAGATAGGTTGAGGGGAGTGGTGAGGGTTGGGGAGCTGAGAGCACACTGCCTTATTGGTTGTGCAGAACCAAGCTAGGGGTCACCACTTTATGCAAATTCAGTGACACTGGATGTTTAGAAGGAATGACTCTCCCTCCCAGAGTGAGAGAGGAGAGGGCCCCAAGGGATGCCATGGACAGTAGCTGTGTTGAGAGCAGAGCAAGAGGGGCCTTCCATGTTGAGGATCAAGAAACTGAAAGAGCAGTAGAGATTCAGAGGGTTCTACAGTGTTGGTGAGGCTGAATCAACCAGGGAATGCCACAGGGCCTTGACCCAGCTGAGACAGGCAGGAGTAGTCTTTACCAGCAGGTACCAGCAGCAGAATGCTCAGCACACATTGCATCTCAGAGACGAGTCAAAATTAGCCTCCCTGCAGAACAGTCCAGCAAGAATTCAAAGGAGACCTTACAGATGTCAGGACCGAGATTCTCCAACAGTGTCTCAAGTTCATGTCAGCTACCCCTTGTCCTCCCTCTTATCATTCCAGATGCCATTTTGAGGGGGGCAGACTGAGAGAGATGGAATATTAAAAGCTTAAGTGTTTTAACCAAAATATAAAATAAATAAATTATTGCAACAGAACAAATTTATCAAGTTGGTGTAATATGTAGAGTTTTCCCTCTATTATCCAAAGGCTGAGGATATTTTATTTACACAGTTGAAGGTATTTTGAGATTGCCATAAAAATATCACATCATTTTTCATATGAAATGCTGCCAAGACAGCAGATTGTGTCTTTTGGCCATTATGGTTTATTTGTCTAAGCTTAACACTCAGAGGGTAACCACATTTTCCTTATACCCACATTTTTGATGGATTTCCACATACTAATAACTATATGCTTACATGTATCCCCAAAATGACTTCTTAGAATATATGAGGAAGTAACGCAAACGTTTGGATTAGGGCATGAGTAAAGCTGCCAGAGAAAGAGTGAAGCAAATAAAATTAAAGTCACAAAATTAATGTTCTGGTTAAGGATTGCCACTGTGTAAAGGGAAACACTCTATTCAACAGAAAATACACTTTACTTCCTAAAGTGGTCAAAATGAGTGAGATATGATTAGAAATCTACCATCAAAAAGGTGAAGTTTGAAATCCAAGAACCATTTTATAAATAAATTTGAAAAGTACCTGGACTACTGCTTTTTGGTGTGCCTCCTGTCAAGTGCTCTTTCTCCTCCCAGGAAATCTGAAGCTAAAATTAGCTTTCCTGCTCTGCTTCCACTAGTCTTTCTAGGGAGGAAAGGGAACAAAAGTACAAAATGTTGTAGTTTGGTAAACGGAATTAGCTGTTCATTGGACAAACAATTCAGTGAGTATTTTTCTAGGAATTGTCATTTTAAGATGCACTTTAAGACCCATTTCCTTCATCAGGTTTTCTCTAAACCCATACCAGTCTAGTCATCCCACTTCCCATCCTCATTATAGTCACTGTTTATGAAAAACAATACTTTGGCAAATACCATTTTTTGTCTTTTTATATTGTTAGACATCCAAGAATGTAAACTAGTTGAGAGCGAAGTTCATGACACCAGCATAACATCTAACAGTTCCCAAGACAACGTAGACAATAAATGACAGAATTGAACTAACTATTCAATGGCTTCTGTTTATGATTCACTGAGACTGTGGTGGAGAGCTTCAACGAAGCCTGGTAATGAAATCTTTTTTTCTTTTCTGAAGCGAATTGAGGATGCTTTATGATGTTCCAGATTTTCCTTAGCTCCTTTCATGTGGTTGTGACCCCATCTTACAGATTTATCAATTGTATGGATATATCTGGGAACCAAGGACCCATTTAAAAAAATAGAAACTTTTTTTTTTTTAAAGATTTTATTTATTTATTTGAGAGACTGAATGAGAGACAGAGAGCATGAGAGGGAAGAAGGTCAGAGGGAGAAGCAGACACCCCGCTGAGCAGGGAGCCCGATGCGGGACTCGATCCCGGGACTCCAGGATCATGACCTGAGCCGAAGGCAGTCGCTTAACCAACTGAGCCACCCAGGCGCCCCAAAATAGAAACTTTTAAATTAGTGAATAACGTTGGTGAAATACTTAGATCCATGCTTCTACCTCACTTTTCTTCAAAGCTATCAAAAACCAAAGGTGTTGGTGGTAGAAGACTGCATCTGCGACTGTAACTCGTCAGACTGTGTTAGGGCGAAAGTTCAAACCCTCTCAAGGGAGCTTATTTTTAATTTTTCCTCCCCAAAGGATCAAAATCCCATAACGGAAATTACTTGCTTCGTAACACATCTCGACAGACTTTCTGTCAAGGGCAAATAGTAAGGACCATACCTTTTACATTAGACAACGATATTTTTTGAGGAAAAATTCCTGAAAAACCCAATATATTTGATTGAAGCGGTGAGAGATGGAGTCCCGCCGGACGGAGACTGCGGGGGATGGGTACAGGTGGGCACCCAGCTGTTGATGTCACAACCTGCTGCGGGAGACACGCGCCGGTTGCTATGCACCCCGCCCTCTCCTCACTCGCTGTCCCCCTGTTCGTCGCCCTCTTGTGTTCGGTGACCCCCCGGGCTGCCTGCAGGCAGCGCAATGCCACGGGAGAGCTGCTGGAGGGGGCGGTGGGATCCCGGTGCACCATGAGCCTCGGGCCCGGCCCCCTTTCGGGCCGATGAACAGTGAGCACTCCGCTCACCATTCCCCTCCCGGCCTCCGCTGCGAAGGCGGCAGCGGCCGGACAAGAAGCCCGGGGACAGCGCAGGGCCGCTTCTCCACCAACCGCGCCTGGAAAGCAGCCCTCTCAGCCGCGCGGCTCCGGGACTCCTAAGTGAGCCGCTACGCAAGCGGAGCGGAGGGGCGGGGGCGGGGGCGGGGCGGGGGCGGGGCGGGGGCGGGGCGGGGGCGGGGCGGGGGCGGGGCGGGGAGCCGCCGAGCTGGGTGGGTAGAGGCCGGCAGCGGGACGGCTGTGCGGGCGGGAGGCGGGAGGCGGGGGCCGGGGGTGGGGGTGGGGGCAAAGGAGTCGGAGGCGGAGAAGACGGCCGGGGGCGGGACCGCGGCCGCCTCGTGGAGCCAGGTAAGGGAGCGGCCTCGCGCGGGAGGCCGCCGGCTGGGGACGGCTGGGCGGTCGCCTTCCTTCCCGGGCGGAGGGGCGGCCTCCCGCCTGCTCCGAGCCGGCGTGGAAGTGAAGGTGAAGCCACTGGCTGCTCTGTCCACCCCCGCTTCCCGCCTGGCACTGCCTTCCCGGCCTGCCCCAGGGGCCGGCCCTCGCCCGGCGCGTGCGGCCCTAGCGACTCGGCGTTCGGCCCCGCCCCTCCCCGCCCCCTTCCTGGCGCGAGCAGCTTCCTGACGCGATTCCCCTCCCCCTCCGGGTTCGCGAAGAGAGTCGGGCCCCGGGCTGCCACCGCCAGCTTGGCCGCTGTCGCCGCCACCGCTGCCGCCATCTCCTTGATTCCCCCCATCCCCCGCCATGGCCGAGGAGCTCTCCGCGGCCACGTCCTACACCGAAGATGATTTCTACTGCCCTGTCTGTCAGGAGGTGCTCAAAACGCCCGTGAGGACCGCGGCCTGTCAGCACGTGTGAGTAGACGCCTCCTCCCCCGCGCGGAGCCGGGTGGTCGTTTAGGCCCCGCATCCAGCCCCGGACCCTCAGCTGCGGCCTGGCGGGAGCAGAGCCCACCGCGACCTGCCCGAGCGCCCCTCGGCGTGGAGGGCGCGTTCCGGCCCGCCCGCCTCCCGGGCTCGGGGCCAGCTTCCTGGGCCGGCCCCTCTGCCCGAGCCCCCCGGCCCCCGGGTATCCCTCCCTTGCTTTCTTGCCCCCGGGGCAGTGGCCGGGCTCGTCCCGGTCGTGTCTTCGGGCCCGGGAGGAATTGCAGGGAACGTGGAGCCTTTTTGTTTCCTAGCAACCTGAGTGAAGGCTGGGGTGTCGAGTGTCAGAACCGGCCGAAGGTGCGGGCACCAGCCTGCTCCCCGCAGCTACCTCCTCTTTCTGACCTGCCCTGCTTTAAAGTTTTCCCTTCTTTGAGAACCCTGGGCCCATTCTTTCCAGGTCCAAGAAGTCTTACCTAACTTACCTTTCAACCCTGCTTCACAAATCACCCTGGACTCTCTTTCCTTTAAAATTCGGTACATGTTGGAATGCTCTAGAATGGGTTTTCTTCTCTCATGTTAGAACGGACAGGATTTCCGGGTATTGAAGTGATAGTTTCCCTTTGTTTTACCCTTCTTATTTCTTGGTTACTACGAAGGTGGAGATAGGAAAGGAAGATTGCTGTTCATGGAATGAACTGAAGATAAGGCAGTAACTCCAGGGGTGAGGGAGAACACAGAGGGATTAGGTGAGGTGGCATGGTGCTGTTTGATTTGGCATATTTATAGGAAGAACTTCGATAATTTTACAGACGCTAGAGTGTCAGTAGGGGTTGGCAGGAGCCCTTCTTGTAAAGATACATAGCACATCTGACAAACCTGGCTGCTGATCGGAGTCCTTGGGGAACTTTTTAAGTAAACATCCCAATACCCAGGCTCCATTCCAGATTTACAAAAGAATTTCTGGCAGGTGAAGCTTGGAAATCTTTATCTGAAAAAATACACTCAGATTTGAAAGTTTTGTGTGCTTGCAAATAGCTGAAAAGAGTAGAACAAGTTGATAAATATATTTCTCCTTCGACTTTTTTTTTTTTGGAGAGATAGGTTCTGTAATTTTGTAAAGAATGGATTGAATTTGGGGTTCTTCAGATATTATTGTTTGATACTCATTTTTCTCACTCTTATCCTCAATCTTTTCTTTTTTTTTTTTTTAAAGATTTTATTTATTTGAGGGGCGCCTGGGTGGCTCAGTCGTTAAGCGTCTGCCTTCGGCTCAGGTCATGATCCCAGGGTCCTGGGATCGAGCCCCGCATTGGGCTCCCTGCTCCGCGGGAAGCCTGCTTCTCCCTCTCCCACTCCCCCTACTTGTGTTCCTGCTGTCGCTATCTCTCTCTCTGTCAAATAAATAAATTTAAAAAAAAAAAGATTTTATTTATTTGAGAGAGAGAGAATGAGAGACAGTGTGAGAGGGAGGAGGGTCAGAGGGGGAAGCAGACTCCCTGCCGAGCAGGGAGCCCGATGCGGGACTGGATCCCGGGACTCCAGGATCATGACCTGAGCCGAAGGCAGTCGCTTAACCAACTGAGCCACCCAGGCGCCCCTCTTATCCTCAATCTTGACTGCACTTTTTTACCTTACTCCTATTCTGCAGTTGTTGTGTGAGCTAGGAGTATGTGACTTCATTATAGGAGTTGTGCCAGTTACGTTTTGCTATGTTGTGGGAGGTGAATGACAGTCTGAAATTGCTTTGTTATTTGATTCAACAAATGCAAGTTATTAAGAGAAATATTTTGAGATGTTCAGTGCACAATGTATAACTTTTTGGCCTTTAATCTGTCAGTATTCATTATTGTAACTTGATGCCTTTCCTGTGCTTGTGCTGGCAGTGGGTGGACAAAAAGGAGGGTAGGAGGTCAGAGTGAGAGGAAGTAGGTGTTTCTGGACAGAATCGTTTCAGTTACTCTTTGGGTCATTGACCTCATAGAACTCATTGTAATCTTCAGCTCTCCTTAAAATTCCATGCAGTTTGCTCTAGTTTACTTCCCTTGTGGGACATTTTACATCAGACTAATGTGGCTTGACATCAATGGTATGGAAAAGAGAGTGGACATGATTGTTGGACCTTTTTCTAATCATCTCTTTGGACTTGGATGTGGTTAGACTAGATATGGAAATGTAGAGTAGATTTTGTTGATACTGCTTTATCACCCTCCTCCATCCCCTCCTTTATCAACCCATCTCCTACCCCCCTCCCCCTCCAAACACACATAGTTGCTCTGAGATTCAATGAATTAAAGAAGGCAGAGGGGAGAAAAGTTTTATTTGGAAGGGATGGTAATGGTAGAACAGGGTCTTGATTGACTGGAAGGAGTTTGGTGGGGAAATATAATTATTTAAAATAATAAAATTTACTATGTCATTTGCTCTTCCTTTTTCACAAAGGACCAACCTGTGCCTTTAAAAATATTTATGTTTAGCTACAAAATCAGTTTTTGATTCACAGATAGTAAGAAATGAGGTGATAAGGGCTTTGGGTCACTATGGAGCTGTTAGAAAATGAAAATTTTTCATCAACATTTCAACGACAGCAGAGGATTTGCCCACTGACTATTCTAATGGAAGGAACAAGTTCATTATCATTAGAATAAGTTCACCATTTTATAAATTTCTGTATAATCCCCATTTATTCCTTCAAACAGCAATTGTTGAATGTTTTCTGTATGTTAGGTACAAAGCATATAAATAGTGCTGTTTCCCTGGGGACTGTTGATAGTCTAATGGAGAAGACCTAAGCATGAATGTGACTGATAATGGAAGTGATTTAGGAGGAAAATTTTATGTGAGCATTGAGAGTACCTGTCTAAATCAGCCTATGACTAAAGGGGAGATTTCCTGGATGTAGTAATACTTTAGGTCAGAATTGGTTATTCAGGGTTTGTTGGGGAATACCCTGATTGGGTTTACAGCATATGCAGACACAAGGAGGGGTTACAGAGGATGACTGTTTCCAGGCTGAAGCCGAAGGATGAGTGTAGTAGAGATAGAGTTTAGAGGTATTGGCAGGAACTTTCCGTGTAAGCCAATTTGAGCTTTTTCCTGAAAGCCATAGAGACCTATTCAGTAATTTTTGGCAGAGGAGCAGCATGATCACGTTTCAATTTTAGAAAGTTTACTTTAGTAGCAGGACCCAGCTTGGTGTAGTGGTGAGACCAGTGAAGAGATGATTCATTGCTGTGTCAAAGAGAGAATGGTTAGAACCTGAATTAAGGTAATGATAGTGGGAATGGAGAGGAGAGATTCCTGACATTTTGAGGAAGTCAATGTAAGATTTGATGATGCCCAGTAGATAAGTGTATATATGTGGATCTGGAATACATGGAACTAAAGCTGTGAATATGGATGTAGCCACTGAGGGAGGCCTGTAAGTTGGAAGATAGCAGAGGGCCTAGATAGGACAAGTGCTGGAGAATGCATATTTAAATCTGGAGTGGAGAAAAGTGCAGTCTCAGAAGAATGGACAGGATAGGAAGAAATCTAGCATAGAGTGTGACGGTATGGAAACTGAGAAGAATTTTAAGGAAGGAGTGTTAGTTACCTTAGAATGATCAGATGTAGTATTTTAAAAAGCAAGTAAAGATGAATTAAGAGTATTAAAGTTGAGGGGTGCCTGGATGGCTCAGTGGGTTAAGCGTCTGCCTTCAGCTCTGGTCATGATTCCAGGGTCCTGGGATTGAGCCCCATGTCTGGCTCCCTGCTCAGTGGGGAGCCTGCTTCTCCCTCACCCTTTGCCCCTCTCCCCTGCTCATGTTCTCTGTCTCTTTCTAATAAGTAAATAAAATCTTTTAAAAAAAGGAATATTAAAGTTGAGCAGGTATTCAAAGTAAGGTTTCAGAAGAAGGTACAAACTGGCATAGTCGTAAGGTATTTCTTTCGGTGTTTTCATTGGTAATCTTCAAAGGCTCTTTGAACCAAACCTCTCCTCTTTCCTGTTTTGAGTGGTTAAAGGAATAACTTTTGTACATGGTTAAAAGTAAGCTCCATCACAATGAAAATTACATGTAATAAGTTGATGCCTTGCCAAACTCTTAAAGATGGAATCTTTTTTTTTTTTTTTTTAAGAATTTATTTACTTGAGAGAGAGAGAGTAAAGAGAGCAAGGGGCAGGAGGAAGGGCAGAGGGAGAGGGACAAGCAGGCTTCCCGCTGGGCAGGGAGCTCAATTCTAAGACCCTGGGATCATGACCTCAGCCGAAGGCAGATGCTTAAACAGCTAAGCCACCCACGTGCCCCTTAATGATGGAATCTAATCTGTTTTGGGGCATCTCTGTAAGGAGGCATCTTTAAAAATGAGCTAATATAAATCAGCTTTCACTTCTTATTAGGCATGTGCTTGTATGATTATCAACTTGCTTTGGGTTGTCGAGTTCTTACATTTTCTGTTTATATTTCTTATTTTAAAGATTTTATTTATTTGAGAGAGAGAGAGAGAGCATGCGCACTCACGTGAACTAGGGAGTGTGGGGGTGGGGAGGGGCAGAGGCAGAGGGAGAGGGAGAAGTAGGCTCCCTGCTGAGCAGGGACCCTGGTGGGGGACTTGGTCCCAGCCAGGACCCTGGGATCATGACCTGAGCCAAAGGCAACTGAACCACCAGGCACCCCACATTTCTTACCTTTTTAACAACTTTATTGATACCTTGTTGTTTGAGCAGTCATGCTCTAAATAATTTTAAAATTTCTTCCTTCCTACAGACTTGTTATATTCTTAAAGCCAGACATATAGGTTCTTGCTGTTTTAATAAATGCTGCTCCAGACTGTCTTTTTTCTTAAGGGTTTTAAGACTTTATCCAGATTCTCTTGACAAATATTTATAAAATGACATAATTAGAAAACAACTATGCTATTTACTTACGTAACAGAAGGATGACTTAGTTTTAAGTCTAACTTAAAATCTCTGATTTTTTTTTTAAGTTTGTTGTTTTGGGGAATGATTT